GATTATATGGAGTATGAAATATTTCGTTTTTCTTTCACACCCACACACTCACTTTAGTCTAAATAAAAGTTCTCTCTTGTGTAAAATAAGAATTATTTTTCGTCACTCATATCGTTTTTCTACTAAGTAACGGTGCACTTGTTTTGTCATAATAGTGCAGATTGAATTTAAAGGACTGATTTTAATAGTGCAAAAATTTACTCCATGTTCTATATCGTTCGAAATTTTGCATTAGTGGTACATTTGGAAGGACAATTACAAGGGTAAAGAGTGTAAATAACAATGTTGGCAAATTATTACATGCACCTAAGGTCTGTAGTAAATTTTTATTTAATGCTAAATAAGAATTTTCAAATATTGATATAAGCATTTTTAAAATTAAAAAAAAATATGAAAGAAAGTTCATGTAAACCTTAAGTCTACCATAGAATTACTCACAATTATATTATTTTCTAACTCCAAATTAGTTAAACTAACAGCATTGGCAAAAAAAAAAAAAAAGAAGGCCCCGCAAAACTTAACACATCATTTTCTACAAAAAAGACTTGACACAATTTTTAAAAAGTCAAAATAATTAAAAAGGCTAAAAAAATTTGTTCAAATTAAAAATAATTTCAATTTGTTCACAGTAGGGTAGGTCCTGAGAATTGCATGGCCTGGGCCGAGACGAGAAAAATGTCTTATCCTTAGTAGGCTAACGAATTAAAGTACGTATGTAAACTAATTATATTTAAATAATAATTACCGTAATAGTATTATAACAAAATGAGTAAAAGAAAAAAATCTTAATAAAGAGTTTATATATACTTATTACCTCACCAAACCAATGCTCTGGAAAACGAACCGGACGTCGGCCTGGACGAACTATGGGTCAAGGGTTAACCGGTCCAACTGGTCGACCTGTGGTCAACGACCCAGTCAATTATAGTTAAAGTAATAATATTTTATATTATATTCTAAGAAATTTTTAATTAATAAGGAATTTTAATTTGTATTTTTTTACTCTTCCATCTAGTTTATAATATCATTTTGCATGTACCGTCACACTTTCTTTTTCCATTTGTATTAATTTTTATTAATATTAAAAATAAATAATGAATATCAAATAAAGGCTAGGTAATGTGTTCTTGTAGAATACTCTGTAATCCATATGTAAGACTTCAAACTTGTATTTAGTATATTGAAATGAGAAAAAGTGGAAGTAGAAATTAATTTTAATATATGACAATATAATTGATAAATATTTCTTAATTTTATTGATGACAATAATTTTCAAGATATAAGTATTTATATTAATTTTTGGATAAAACATAAATAATTTTCATTTATTTATTTATTGAACTATTTTTATAAGTTCATAAAACAAGTATACTGTTTTATGAACCGACACGATAGATCCTCACCGTAGATTGTTTTCCTTGAACCGACACGATAGATCCTCACTGTAAAATCAGCGCAGATCACCGTAAAATTTTTGCATTTTCCTTGAACCGACACGATAGAACCAATATCGGTCTTGCCTTATTAGTTGCTCTTCCTCACCGTAAAATCAGCGCAGATCCTCTCTCATTCAATCATCACCATTTTCCTTATTTGGTCATGCCATCTTCAATGTTTGCATCCTGTCCTCATTCCACAAATAACCAGCGCCGAGCATCGCAGTCCCCTCCAGGTTTTCATCTTCATTTTCCATTGTTGTCAAACAATCCATCCAATGGTTCTTCCATCTCAATTTGCTAGGTATGTTTCCTTTTATTTTCTGATTCATAAATTACATAACATTTTAATGATTGTTTCACAAATTCATCTTGTATTTGTTTTATTTACCAATTCATAAATTACATAACATTTTAATGGGTTCTCCAATTTGATTATTTGTATAATATTTTATATTTTTTGGTTTATCTTGTTCTTTCAATTTGGGATCAAATTTTCACTTCGAAGTTGATGTTCTTTGATGTCTTAAATTTCAATATTCCTTTGCGTCAGTAAATAGAACAAATGCAAGATGCATTTGAAAAGGGATGAATTCTTCGTTAGTAATTTTTAGTGTATGCCCTAGTAATTTGATTATATAATGTGGAGATAATCAATCGAACACAGTGGAAGATTGGAGTTCTGATCCACATCCATTTTGGATTTGAGAATGTTCAGATACTTTGATGCCAAAGGTAGGAATGTTGTTTAACAATTTGGAGGATAGTATTCAATTTTATCGCGTTTATGCTGCTGCTGCTGTGGGATTTGATGTTCGTAAGATGATACACGCTACTTTTCACGTGTACCTTGGCCGAGTTGCCGCGAACGGCGAGGGGAAGGAGAAGGGCGCCGAAGCGCTAGGGTTTGGAGGGAAGAGAGAAAGAGACGTGGGGGAGAAGTTGTGTTTTAGTATTATGATGATTAAGGAGAGTAAATCACCTCCTTAAATAGAGAAGTTCCCCAAACCTAATTAAACTAGTTATCTATCGTGTCGGTTCAAGGAAAACAATCGAGGTAAAGAACCAAAAAAAACCCTCGAAGGGACTTATAATTCGTCCATCTAAAGAAAATCTAAATACATAATGATTATTAAAAATTGCTTAAACATAATCTCCTCTTTGAACGTCTCGTCACAATGGCTTCCTCGTCATCCGTCCTAGGGTTTGTGTCCGTATCAATTCCACCGGGGTTAAAAACCGGCTTGTCCTAAAGCCGGAGATCCGGGAAGTGACGTTGCAGCTAAACCACGGGTTCCCATGTATCGTCACCATGCGAACCATCCGTCCAGCGAATGAGCCACTGGTCTTGCAGTGTTCCGTCCACTAGGACCGTGCGTTGCGCCAATACTTACGCCGGGCGAGAAACCAGGCGACCACCAAAGAACTCCAGTGGAAGGGACTGCGGCGGCATGCCGTCACCCTCTTGGCGAAAAGGTTTGAGTAATGACACGTGAAAGACATCGTGAATTTGGCACCCCTCCGGCAACTGTAAGCGGTAGGCCACCTCCCCAATGCGCTCCATAACCTCAAAAGGACCATAATACCGTCATGCCAATTTGAGGGATGCCGGCCGGGGCACCGAATGCTGCCGATATGGCTGGAGTTTGAGTAACACGAGGTCCCCGACGGCAAATGAGATATCCCAACTGCTAGAAAAAAGTCCCAACGCTAGAGGGGGGGGGGTGAATAGCATTTGAAACGAAAGTAACGCAGAAATAAAAATTTAAAGTAAAAGAGCAAGAAGGCACACCATTTTTACCCTAGTTCACCATAATGTGTGGCTAGTCCAGCCTCCCGAGACACTCTCTCGAGCTACACTATCAATGTTAAGCTTAACGGTGCTTAACAAACCCGTACAACTTGAGAGTTCGAGTCACATGAACCTCAACAAACCTTCGAAGGAAACAACCCTTCCTTTGAACTACTCAAGAGAAAAACTTTTTCTTATCAAGTGTGTAAAACACTAAACCACTCAAGAACAATACTCTCTTTTAGAGTGGATATTGTGTAACTAGAAACGCTCAAGAACACAACAGAAACTTCACAAAAATGGCTCTCGAAAAGCTATGGAAAATGTATGAATGTAATGCAATAAATAATAGAAGTTGTGAAGTAATGTGATATGAAAAGCAGACCCAAACACCCCATTTTATAGTAGAAAAATAGGCTCCAATGGGTAGGAGTTGAATGGGGGTGATTGGCATAATTTGTGGGATTTGATTAAAATTGGATCTGCTGAAAATCACCATTATAGCGCTGTCCATTACTTGGACATCGCTGTTGTAGGCTTGGTGTTTAAAAATTGGGAAGCAACGGTCAAGCCAACAGCGATGTCCAAAAGGCCAACATCGCTGTTTTGGCTGTTGACTTCCAAACTTAGAAAGTTTTAGCCATAAATTCCTTCCAACGGTCAGGTGCCTACATCGATGTTCATTACTTGAACATCGCTATTCAGGCCTGACTTTGAAGGATGAAAGATGGCCTGACATCGCTGTTGCTGGGTCAACATCGCTCTTCCAGACTGGAATTTCAACCTTGGCTCAACAGCGATTTCCATTGACCAACATCGCCGTTGGAAGACTTAACACCAAACCATGGTTTTCAGCTGCCAACGCCAGACAGCGCTGTTGGGCTGGTTTAGCCAGACCCATGGCTGGTTAGTCATGCCGTAAGCCGATGTCAAAAATCAAAGTTCTCCAAAATAAAAACTAAGTGTTGAAAATATTTTTTTAATATATTTTTCTAAGAATTAAAGTGAGACATCTTAAAAACCACGTCATTTAGGTAAAACCACGGCTAGCCAAGTTTATGCCGTTTCACATGGTTTTCACCAAACGACCAAAAACGAAAGGTTGTTTTTGAAGAGTTTTTGTTGGAGAACTATTTAAATGTTCCCAGGAGTAAAAACCAATCATAAAAAGTTGAAAACCACTTGGTTGGTTAGGACGCCAAAAACCAACACCGATGACCGAATGCCGAACGCCAGTTGGCTTGGTTTTTGGTTTGGGCGAACACCAAGTGTTTTAGCCTAATTTAAAACTTGTGAAAAACATTTTTGAAGATGCAAAAAGATGTTTTAATGTAATGAGCCTAGAGATCCAAGTTTTAGAAATTTGTGCCGATCTTGATCACATTAAGACCGACTCAACTAATTTCTAAGTCTTCGTTCTTGGTTCTTGGTTCTCATTTTCAATTCATCATCGCTCCATGTTTCTTCGCCTTTGATTTGTTTAGTTTTCTCTTGTTTTCGCAACGATTTGGCATTATCAAAAACTGTCATAAAACGAACACGGTTTTAGTACAATGTCGGCGTAAACCTGTGTTCCAACAATTTCCCCCATTTTGATAGTGGCAAACAAGATGAGGATATGCATACTAAGGGATAATTGAGTTTCAAATAAGTGTGAGAAAAAAGTTCCCCCTTAATTTATTCTTAAAAAATTGTCGTTTTAAAAATAGACGAAATGTTTAAGAAACGTTCCCCCTTAGTGTATGCATCACCCTTTTCTTCCCCCTTTTTACATTAACAAAAAGATAAAGCATAACTTTTTTTATTGAATTGGGAAAAAGCGGAGTACAACGGAAGAAATTAATTAAAAAAACATGAAAAATTAAAAGAAAAAAGATAGAAAATCTAGGTGCGGCCTAGTCTTCGTCTTCCTCCTCTTCGTCTTCGGTTTCCTCCTCATCGTCGTCAACATCCATTGCATCACCATCAATGGCGTCGTCGAATTCATCCTCGTCCGGGGAGCTTGACGGGGCGTAGGAGCCATCCTCTTTGTCCTCGTTACCGTACTCTTGCCCAAGGACCGTGGCTTGGCACGGTGGAGGGACGTAGTTAACACGTTGGAAGTACACGTTCATGGCGTACCCTGGACGTTGAATAGCCTCGTCGAGCCGTTTAAGGTACCCACCCATCCCGTCCACCTTGAAGTTCAACCGGTTGAGTGAGTCGGCGATGAAGGCGAGGTTTGCCCGGGCTTAGGGTTCAGCTGGGCCAGCGGCAGTGGCAGGGGCGGCGTTGCCCGACTGCTTCTTGAAGGTTTGGTCGTTGATCGTTCAAATCTTTGTGGCCTTGGTGAGCGGGCCAACGGTGGTGGTAACCTTGAACCGCTCAAGGATGTCCATCACCAAGAGGGGGTACGGAAGGAGGCGATCGTGGGTAAGCGACGTGGCGTCCGTCATGTGGATCATGACAAACTTCGCCAAATTGATCGGCACCGAGTGCATGATTGCATGGAGAAGCTTGAGGTCCTCTTCTGACATAATCGTGTGTCCGTGCTTCCTTGGTTTGAGGATGCGGGACACGATGTAGAGAAGGAGGCGGCTTTCGGGGGTCGCGGAGTGGATGGTGGGGCGACCCGTGGCGTGGCGGATGAGGGTGGTGATGCCGAGTTCATCAAGGACCAACCCCTCGTTGTTGAGCACCCAATCTTCTCCGCCATTGGTGGAGATGTCGTCGGCTTGGTAGGGGAGGCCGGCGATGCGCCCAAGCTACTCGACGATGCGCTCAATCGGTGTGCTCTTGACAAGGCTGTAGAGCACATCGCCCTCACGCCGGAGGTTTTGAGTAGAACACCCAAATCAGCGCCGGGTTGATCTCCTTCCGGACGTTGGAGACAAACAGCCATATCCCGGATTGGTGCAGCTCTGCGTCAAGCGGTTCATAGCCAAGCATCTCCGGGAGTCGCTCTGGGAGGATCCTCGGCAGTGCCACAACCCGCTTGGAGAAGAAGGTGAGGAAGCCTGTATGTTCTTCCTCGGAATCGAACCAAAGGTATGACCCGTCTCCGTAGTAGAAGCGTTCGTCGGAGGTCATGGTAGGGGCCCGGGATTTGGACTTTCATTTCCTAGAGGTACGAGCCCTGCTCTTGTCCTTGCCCATTTTTGTGAAGAAATATCAAAAGAGGATGAAGAGATGATGAAATATGCAAGAAGAATGAAAGGATTTGTGTTTGTGTGTGTAAAGGTGAAGGAATGGGGTCCCAATATATAGGGATGAAGGTGTCCAACGTTCAAAAATTTGAAAAAAAGGCTGTTGGAGCATTTAGTTTAGTGTCCAACGAATACTTTTTTTTGAAAAATTCAAGTTGAATAGCGATGTCCAGTAGGCTACATCGCTGTTGAGACATCGTCGATGTTGTGCCTTTGTACATCGCTGTTATGCGATAAGTTTAAAAGCCAGTTTACAAATTGACAGCGATGTTCAGATCCCTACAGCGATGTTCCAAAACATTCTGGAAATGTGGAAGGGAGTGAGCCCATTAGAACAGCACTGTTGGATGTCCTACATCGCTGTTTTACGATTAGAGAAAAAAATTTGTACAAATGGACAGCGATGTTGAGTTCATTTACATTGCTGTTGAAAAAGTTTCTGGTTTTGAGAAAAAAACTGGGGTGATGGTGACAGTGATGTTGGAATATGTACATCGATGTCACAAAAGTTTCTGGAAAGCATTGGATAAGAGTACTCACTGAGACAGCGATGTTTGGTTTAACAGACATTGTTGTTAGGCCACTTAGGTTGACGGTGTTTTCTTATACATTGCTGTTGAGATTTTGAACAGCGCTGTATGTACAACGATATAGCCTTCTTAGACAGTGATGTTTGCATGGTTCCCCCTGATTTTATGTGCGGGGTACCTGCAAAAAAGAAAAAGTTCTCCGACGCTCAAGTTAGTAAACATTTAACAAGATAAAATGCACAACTTAGATCATCGTGGAGTCAAGGATTCCAAGTTCACTTCGAATGCGGAAAAACGACTCTTTCTCTAAAGGTTTTCTGAAAATGTCGGCTAATTGGTTGTGTGTTTCAACGAACTCAATTTCGACATCACCTTTGAGAACATGATCTCTAATGAAATGATGCCTGATGTCAATGTGTTTCGTCCTTGAGTGAAGAACGGGGTTCTTCGTCAAGCTTATGGCGCTAGTATAATCACAACGAAGAGGAACGTGATTGATACTAAGGCCATAGTCCACGAGTTGTTGCTTCATCCAAAGGATTTGAGCACAACAACTACCGGCGGCTACGTATTCCGCTTCGGTTGTGGATAACGCAACACTGACTTGTTTCTTACTAAACCATGAGACTAAAGAGTTACCAAGTAAGTGGCATGTCCCACTCGTACTTTTACGGTCCAATTTGCAACCAGCAAAGTCCGAGTCGGAATAACCAACGAGATGACAAGAAGAGCCTTTGGGATACCAAAGTCCAACGTTAACCATTCCAACAAGGTATTTCATGACCCGTTTCACCGCTGTTAAATGTGATTCCTTCGGACACGATTGATACCTTGCACAAAGGCATACGCTGAACATGATATCCGGCCTACTAGTGGTAAGATAAAGAAGGGATCCGATCATACCTCGATACTTTTTGACCTTTACTTCCTTACCTTTATTGTCTTTTTCAAGGTGGTCGGATGTGCTCATCGGGGTCGCCATGGCTTTGGCGTTATCCATTTCGAACCGTTTTACGAGTTCTTTGCAGTACTTAGTCTGGCAAATGAATGTGCCATCTCTCATTTGCTTCACTTGAAGTCCCAAAAAGAGCGTGAGCTCGCCCATCATTGACATTTCGAACTCACTAGTCATTAACTTGGAAAATTCCTTGCATAAAGACTCGTTAGTAGCACCAAAAATAATATCGTCTACATAAACTTGAACCAAAAGGATATTGTTTTTTTTACTCTTGATAAAAAGTGTAGTGTCAACCTTTCCCCTTTGGAAACCACTATCCAAGAGAAATTTACTCAAACGTTCGTACCAAGCACGGAGGGTGCTTGTTTAAGACCGTAGAGCACTTTCTTGAGTTGAAGACGTAATCGGGGTCCTCAAAGTCTTCAAACCCTAGGGGCTGGTCAACATACACTTCCTCTTGAATAAAACCATTGAGGAAGGTACTCTTAACATCCATTTGATAAAGTTTAAAATCCATAGACGAGGCAAAAGCAAGAAGTAAACTTATAGCTTCTAAACATGCTACATGTGCATAAGTTCTTTCAAAATCAATGCCTTCTTCTTGATTGTAGCCTTTAGCTACAAGCCTAGCTTTGTTTCTAGTGATTATTCCATTTTCATCGAGTTTGTTACGGAACACCCATTTCGTACCAATAATCGTACGATCATCGGGCCTTGGCACCAATTCCTAAACGTCATTCTGTTTGAATTGGTTTAGTTCCTCTTGCATAGCCAAGGTCCAATGTACATCGTTTATTGCTTCAGAAATGGTTGTAGGTTCAATTTGAGAAACGAAAGCCATGCGTCCTACGGTGTCCCTAAGAGAGTTCCGAGTACTTACCTCTCGGTTGATGCTACCGATTACCTGATCAAGTGGATGATTTTTGTTTGTTCTCCATGCGACGCAAAGCTCAGTTTCTTCTTCTTCTTGTTCCTGGGCTTCCTCTTGTTCTTTTTCTTCCTCTTGATCTTCTTCATCTTGGTTGGCCACTTGAGGCGTTTCCTCATATTGCTGCTGCGGGTTGGTGTATATTTGCGTGTCTTCTTCATCGTCTTCAATGTGTATTCTTTTGAGTGAATCTGCAATATCATCACAAATATCCTTTCTCGCCAAGCGAGTATTATCTTCGGAAAACACAACATGAGGGGACTCCTCAATAGTCAACGTACGTTTATTAAAGACTCTATAGGCCTTGCTACGTAATGAATAACCAAGACTCTATTTGCCATTGTTATGAATAAAACATTTGCAACCAAAGACTCGAAGATGGGAAAGGTTTGGCTTTCTCCCTTTGTATAGTTCATAAGGCGTTTTCATGAGTATCGGTCGAATGACGGCTCAGTTTAACACATAGCTCGCAGTACTCACAGCATCTGCCCAAAAATACTTAGGGATTTTTGCCTCATTGATCATAGTTCTAGCGATATCTTCGAGACATCTATTTTTACGTTCCACCACTCCATTTTGTTGTGGTGTACATGGGGCTGAGAAATTATGATCAATGCCAAGTTCGTCACACAAATCTGAAAATAGATTTCGTTCGAACTCTCCCCCATGATTGCTTCTTATGGCTACTATAGTTGTATGTTTTTCATTTTGAACTTTCTTTAGAAAATTTTTGAAGACGTGAAATGCATCACTTTTATGAGTAAGAAACAAGGTCCATGTAAGCCTAAAGTAGTCATCGACAATCACAAACGCAAAGTAATTACCACCAAAACTTTTCGTTCTAGAAGGACCAAAGAGATCTATGTGCAAAAGTTGAAGCGGTTTAGACGTTGAAACAACGTTCTTAGACTTAAACGAAGCCCGAACTTGCTTCCCCTTTTGACATGCATCACATCTGGTGTCTTTTTCAAACTTAAGTTTTGGGATGCCAGTTACTAAGTCTTGTGAAACCAATTTGTTCAAAAGGTTCATGTTCATATGAGCTACCCTTCGGTTCCATAACCAAGTGTCTTCCGCTTTACTCATGAGGTACTTAGCAAAGCTGGAAGGTGATTTGTCTAAGTTAACCATATAAATATTATCGATTCTATCACCACGTAGAATAACCTTATTGTCACTAAGGAGTTCTACCGTGTATGATTTTGAATCGAAGGTCACACGGTTCCCTTTGTCACATAAATGACTTATGCTCAAGAGATTGTGTTTAAGACCTTTAACAAGCAAGACATTATCTATAGAGGAGTCTTTGGATTTACCTACCGAACCAATGCCGATAATTTTTCCTTTGCTATTGTCTCCAAAGACTACGTTCCCTCTTTTAGCGGGTTTGATTTGAAGAAACTTGGATGCATCTCCGGTCATGTGCTTGGAGCATCCGCTATCAAGGTACCAAAGTACACTTGATGCCTTCAAGCACACCTACTAAACACATCAATAAGTTTTAGGTATCCAATTTATGTTAGGTCTTCGTGTGTTAGGTGTGTGATGGTAGTTTGCTTGATTTTGTGATAGGTTCCTATGCCTAGTGAAACAAACAGGGGCAATATGACCTATCTTATTACAATAATGGCAAACTACATTGGGGTTGTACATGTGCCTAGGTTCGTAGTAGTTAGGGGGTCTAACCATATTGTTCCTATTTTGTGAAAAAAGATGGTCTTTGAATATTTTGAAATTGATCTTTCTTAGGTGCTCTAATATTATTTCTTCTATTTTGAGAAAAATTATTTTTGTGCACAAAATTGTTTTGATAATTTTTTTAGGTTGTCTAACAAGTACATTTTCACTCCTAGGTTTTTGTCTAGATTGTCTAGTGTCCTTAGGTTGACTAGATTTTCTATTACCCTGATTTTTAGCTTTCTTACGTTGAGCTTTAGGTGGTTGTCTAGGCATTTGCTCAACGTTTTCTTTAACCTTAGTTTCATTTTTATTAAAGCCTATTCCTTCCTTAGAAAAATGCATAGTGTCAAGGAGTAAATTTAAATCTTTGTGCAGAGTATTAAATTTCTTAACCGTACACTCAAGTTTTGTCACTTGTTCTTTTAAAGCTTTACAAGATTCACATTCGCTTGAAGAACTTTTCGGTTTGTCAGCGCTTCTTTTTCCAAAAAATTTGTTTTCTTGTTTTAATTTTTCATTTTCTTTTTCCAACTTTTCAAAATCGTTTTCAAGTGTAGAAAGACGTTTCTTTAAAGATTTGTTGGTTTTGGAAGCGCTAACAAATTCGTCGTAAAGTTTACGAAGTGCTTCTTGCATTTCTTCAAAAGTATAAGAGTCGGAAGAAGTGGTACATACCTCTTGGACATCGTCGCTTTGATCTTCGTGTGCCATGAGGCAAAGGTTGGCAGCTTCGTCCTCCTCTTGGTCGGTTGACTCGTCGCCAGAATCGCCACCCCAAGAGATGTAAGCTCTTTGCTTCTTGAAGCCGGGCTTGTCCTTGCCGTTCTTGGCTTTTGGACACCTTGGCTTGATGTGGCCAATCTCGCCACAGCCGTAGCACTTCGGAGGACCGTCGTGCTTCCTTCCTTTACGCTCAAATTCCTTCTTCATGAATTTGTGAAACTTCTTGATGACGAGTCCAAACTCGTTGTCATCGTCGCTTGAAACCTCTTCCACCGGTTCCTTGGTGGCTTTGAGAGCTATTCCCTTCTTTCTTTGTTCGTCCAACGATGGATTAAGCATGGTAGATTCGTAAGTTTTGATATTGCATCTTAACCCATCGATTGTGACGTTGGAGACACCAATTGACTCGTAGATGGCATCGGCCTAGGAGCGCCATTTTGCGATCAAACATGTTATTGATTTTCTCACCTTCCTTCATTCGGAAAATTTCGTACTCTTGGGTGAGAAAATCGATTTTGGCCTCACGAACTTGATCGGTACCTTCGTACGTCACTTCAAGCTTGTCCCACATCTCCTTGGAGGTTGAGCAACAAGAGATCTTTCGGTAATCTTCGGGGTTAACCGCACAGTATAGCATGTTGATAGCCTTCGCATAGTCTTCGACATCAAACTCATCTTTGGTCTTTGGGACCGTGGTTTCTCCCACTTTCTTCATTGGGATTTGTTCGCCATTTTTGATAACCAACCACAATTGGAAGTTGGTGGAACGGATATAGATTCTCATCCGTTCCTTCCAATAGGTGTAGTTGGTACCATGAAAAAGTGGTGGCCTAGAGGTGGATTGCCCTTTGCCAATACTTGCGTACAAATTTCTAGAAGAAGAGCCCATGATCTTATTCCTCTCAAACGGTTAAGTTTGGAAGAGAGTTAGGCTCTGATACCAATTGTTAGAAAAACGTCCCAACGCTAGAGGGGGGTGAATAGCATTTAAAACGAAAGTAACGCAGGAATAAAAATTTAAAGGCGTACAGTAAAAGAGCAAGGAGAAGGCACACCATTTTTACCCTGGTTCACCACAACGTGTGGCTAGTCCAGCCTCCCGAGAGACTCTCTCGGGCTACACTATCAACGTTAAGCTTAAGGGTGCTTAACAAACCCGTACAACTTGAGAGTTCGAGTCACACGAACCTCAACAAACCTTTGAAGGAAACAACCCTTCCTTCGAACTACTCAAGAGAAAAACTTTCTCTTATCAAGTTTCTAAAACACTAAATCACTCAAGAACAATACTTTCTTTTAGAGTGGATATTGAGTAACTAGAAACGCTCAAGAACACAACACGAACTTCACAAAAATGGCTCTCGAAAAGCTATGGAAAATGTATGAATGTAATGCAATGAATAATAGAAGTTGTGAAGTAATGTGATATGAAAAGCAGACCCAAACACCCCATTTTATAATAGAAAAATAGGCTCCAACGGGTAGGAGTTGAATGGGGGTGATTGACATAATTTGTGGGATTTGATTAAAATTGGATCTGCTAAAAATCACCATAACAGCGCTGTCCATTACTTGGGAAGCAACAGTCAAGCCAACAGCGATGTCCAAAAGGCCAACATCACTGTTTTGGCTGTTGACTTCCAAACTTGGAAAGTTTTAGCCATAAATTCTTTCCAACGGTCAGGTGCCTACATCGATGTTCATTACTTGAACATCACTGTTCAGGCCTGACTTTGAAGGATGAAAGATGGCCTGACATCGCTATTGCTGGGTCAACAGCACTGTCCAAAAACTTTCTGCCAAAGGCATTTTCTTTTGGCTTAGGTTGAACATCGATGTAGAGAAGTCTACATCGCTGTTCCAGATGTTTCTGGAATTTCAACCTTGGCTCAACAGCGATGTCCATTGACCCACATCGTTGTTGGAAGACTTAACACCAAACCATGGTTTTCAGCTGCCAATGCCAGACAGCGCTGTTGGTTACTCCAAATCGCTGTTGGGCTAGTTTAGCCAGACCCATGGCTGGTTAGTCATGTCGTAAGCCGATGTCAAAAATCAAAGTTCTCCAAAATAAAAACTAAGTGTTGAAAACATTTTTTTAATATATTTTTCTAAGAATTAAAGTGAGACATCTTAAAAACCACGTCATTTAGGTAAAAACCTCGGCTAGCCAAGTTTATGCCGTTTCGCATGGTTTTCACCAAACGACCAAAAACGAAAGGTGGTTTTTGAAGCGTTTTTGTTGGAGAACTATTTAAATGTGCCCAAAAGTAAAAAAACAATCATAAAAAGTAGAAAACCACTTGGTTGGTTTGGACGCCTAAAACCAACGCCAATAACTGAATGCCGAATGCTGGTTTCTAAAAAACGAACGCCGGTTGGCTTGGTTTTTTGTTTGGGCGAACAACAAGTGTTTTAGCCTAATTTAAAACTTGTGAAAAACATTTTTGAAGATGCAAAAAGATGTTTTAATGTAATGAGCCTAGAGAGCCAAGTTTTAGAAGTTTGTGTCGGTCTTGATCACATTAAGACCGACTCAACTAATTTCTAAGTCTTCGTTCTTGGTTCTTGGTTCTCATTTTCAATTCATCATCGCGCCATGTTTCTTCGCCTTTGATTTGTTTAGTTTGCTCTTTTTTCGCGGCGGTTTGGCATTATCAAAACCTGTCATAAAACGAACACGGTTGTTGTACAATGTCGGCGTAAACCCGTGTTACAACACCGTCGATGCTGGTTCGCCTGGTCTCGCATCCGTTGCTGCACTTTCCGCAACTGGAGCTTCAAATCTTCAAGCATGGCTTCCCTATCCCGCAAAAGGTCCTCCACTGTTGGCGTGCATGCACGGATGGATAAAGTGGGGAACAGTGAAGGCGGAGGTCGGCCGTATAAAGCCTGAAATGGAAACATTCCAATGGCGTCATGATGGGAGCAATTCAACTCTAGCTCTGCCCAAGCGAGAAACAACGACCATCAGTGTTGGCATTCATGCGTAAAGGCCCTGAAATATTGTTCCAAGCCACGGTTGGCGACCTCCGTCTGCCCATCTGTCTGGGGGTGGTACGCCGTGCTAAATTTCAATGTCGTCCCGCTCAATCGCATTAACTCCCTCCAAAATATACTCATAGAAATGGAGTCACGATCGGAGATGATGTCGCCCAGGTAACCATGGTGTTTGACGACCACTTCAAGAAATAGCTGAGCAACCTTAGGAACGGCATACCCGGAGCTTAGAGCACCAAAGTGGGCGTATTTGGACAGCCGATCAACGAACACCATAATTACTGTGAGTCCGCGCGAAGGGGGTAAGCCCGTACTAAAGTCCATCGAAGTGGATTCCCAAACCCGTTCCGGAACTGGCAGCAGCTGGAGCAAACCCTCGGGCTTCTGTGTCAAGTACTTGGTGACCTGACAGACCGTGCAAGCGCCACAAAGTTGCGAACATCCCTTCGCATGTTGCGCCAATAGAAGACATCGGCCAGTCATCGAAAAGTGCGTTCCACCCCTTGATGACCCAAAAGAGGCGTGCTACGGAATTCAAGAAGCAACCGAGCCCGGAGAGGAGAAGAAGCCCCGATGTACAAACACCGTCTATAATAGAGTACCCCATCGTGCACTGTGAGATCGGGCGAAGCTTTCCCGGCATGGACAGTGGTGTGGATGGCTTGTAATTCGGGATTGCTTTCGTTCTCACGCTTGATATCCACCAAGAGGGATGAAATTGGATGCGTGTACGCTACAAAAACCCCTGCGGCATCCTCGCCCTCTTCTCATTTGGACAGCGCGTCCGCCACTTTGTTCGACGAGCCGCTCTTGTATTCAATCTGAAATGTATACCCCATCAACTTTCGAGCGTAGAACTACTGTTCGGGGGTCTGAATTACCTGGGACAGGAGCTCTTTAAGGCTGCGTTGGTCACTGCAGATGACAAATTCACGACCAAGCAAGCATTGACACCATTTTTAAATAAACGGCCTCCACGATTGCATATAATTTCTTGTGATAGGTGGAAGCGGCCCAGAAGCGAGGGCCCAACTTGCAGCTAAATAATGCCAAAGGATGGCCATGTTGCATCAGCACTGCCCCCACGCCCGATTCTGTTGCATCCGTCTCGATATAAAAAGTGAGGGCAAAATTGGGTAGCCGGAGCACCGGGCCGAGGTCATTGCCGTTTTGAACCATTAGAAGTTGTCCGCTACGGTTGGAGTCCAGCAAAAATTGTCTTTCTTTAAAAGTTCGGTTAGCGGGGCGGCGATGGTGGCATACCCCGCGATGAAATGACGATAGTAACTAGTAAGGCCCAAAAACCCTCGAAGCTGCTTGATATTGGATGATGTCGGCCAGGCTACCATGGCGCGGACCTTCTCCATATTCATGTTGTAGGATGTTGAGGACCGCAGAGAGGTGATCCACGTGGGAGTCCAAGGTCGGACTATACACCAAAATGTCGTCAAAGAAGACGATAACAAACTGTCGCAAATGAGGGCGGAAGATGGTATTCATCGCGGCTTGGAACGTTGACGGAGCATTCGTCAAGCCGAAAGGCATTACCAAAAACTCGTAATGGCCTTCATGTGTCCGGAAAGCCGATTTGAAAATGTCCGCGCCATGCATCCGAATTTGGTTACCCCGAGCGGAGATCTAATTGGTGAAGTAACGTGCATGCCCCAACTCGTCGAACAATTCGTTTGTGGTCGGGATCGGAAAGTGATCGGGGATAGTTGTTGCATTCAAGGCCTGATAGTCGATGCAAAACCGAAAAGTGTCGTCTTTCTTCCAAACCAAAAGCACCGGCGAAGAAAAGGGGCTGTGGCTCGGCCGTATTGTCCCCTGCATAAGCATCTCCTGAATCTGTTTTTCTATTTCCGCCTTCTAAAAATAGGGGTACCGATACGGCCGTACATTGATTGGCTTCGCCCCCAGGGATAAGTGTATGCGGTGGTCCCATACTCGGGCTAGTGGCAGACCCAAAGGGAGGCGAAAGAGCTTGTCATGGGCTTGGAGAAGTGCGCGGGCAGCTGATGGCAAGTCTGCCGATAGTGCTAGGCCATCTTCCGCCGTCGTGGTGTCCGAGGGCGCCGGAGTGAGTTCATAGAGATCACATGACACCACATCCCATGCCAAGGAACATAGCCAACCGTAAGAAATAGGTCTAGGCTCGACTGTGTCACCTCGCAATGTGATATTTTCCCCTTTCCATATAAATTCCATCGTCATTTTGGCGTAGTCGTGTGAGACCTTCCCTAAGGCTTGAAGCCACTGCACACCCAACACAATGTCTGGACCATGGATTTCCAACAAATATAAATCAACATCAAATAGGTGGCCTTGTAACCGAAGAGGAGTCCTTGTGCAAGAGTATGAATAACGCAAGGAATCACCATTGCTAACATAAACACGAAACAGGGTTACCGGATGTAAAAGCAAAGCCAAACGTTCCGCGACGCTGGGGTGGATAAAATTGTGTGTACTGCCGCTATCCAACAATACCTGGACCACCGCCGAATTGACAAAGCCGGAAACTTTTAAGGACCGCAGGCTAGGGCTGCCGGCCAACGAATGCATGATGGAAATATCACCGAGAATGACCAGAGCATCATCGTCCAGTTCGGCCGCTAGAGGAGGTTCTAGTTCTGACTCATCATCATCTTGCCCCATGAGGAGAAAGAAGCGGCACCTGCAGTTGTGTGCCGGGGTATACTTTTTGTCACAGTACCAGCATAACCCCTTCTTGTTGCGTTCGGCCTTGACCGCATCAGTCAGACGAACTACGGGCAAACCCGAAGCGGTTGGGGGGCGGGAGCTTTGGCCGTAGGCTGTGCCGGTCGTGGAGTAGGAAGAAGACCGGGGCTGGACGTGGCCGTATTGGCTGGAGGTGGGGAATTCCAGGCACGGTGTGTCCCTTGGGTATAGGCAGATTCCGCCTTAGAATGGCAAGCCGAAAGTTCCCGAGCGAGGGCGAAGGTAGCCGGTAGTGAGGTGGGGCTGCGGAGGTTAACCTCACGTTGCAATGGTCGTTTTAAACTTGCCACAAACATGGAAATTAATGTGGGTTCTGGGACCCTGACACCTTGTTGAGAAGGGCCTCGAAGGCGGTCTGGTATTCCATCACGCTCGTGGTTTGGGTGAGTTTGGACAGCAACCCGACGTAGTTCTCATAATAGTGCGGATCAAAGCGTTGCTGAACGGCCAAAAGAAAGTCCTCCCATGTAGTCGTACCATTATTAGCTTGAGAATAGTGAAACCATTCGGACGCCGGATGATCTATGAACATGGCCACCAGTTGAAGTCTCTCCGGCTCCGGTGTTAAAAAGTAATCAAAATACTTTTGAATGCGAAAGATCCACCCCATTGGATCTTCCCCGATAAACCGCAGCGCGTCCACTCGCATACGAGGTACCGCCTCCGGTGTTGATGTAGAGTAGCGGGACGCACTAATTTCCAACTCATGGGCGACTATCTGGTGTTGAGCCGTGCGTCCAGGTGAGGCTGGGAAGAGAGTTCCGCAACCCGTATCTTCGTGGCGTGGAGCTCCTTACGGACGTCCATTATGGCGTGCATGAGATCCTCCAAGGTGAGGGCGGAGGACGAGGTGTCCGGCGTGGTCGAAGGATTGGACATGAGTACAAGAATGAAAGCACCAGTTGATACACACTACTTTTCACGTGTACCTTGGCCGAGTTGCCGCGAACGGCGAGGGGAAAGAGAAGGGCGCCGAAGTGCTAGGGTTTGGAGGGAAGAGAGAAAGAGACGTGGGGGAGTTGTGTTTTAGTATTATGATGATTAAGGAGAGTAAATCACCTCCTTATATATATACACACACACAAACACACACACACACACACACATATATATATATATGTATGTATATATATATATATATATATTTAAAGGATTTTTATTAATCAAGAAGAGAGGTACAAATCATACAAGGAGCCAAAGCGGCAACAGGAAAATCATACAAACGAGATATAATATATATATATATATATATATATATATATATATATATATATATATATATATATGAGAAAAGTATTTATTACATATATATATATATATATATATATATATATATATATATATATATATATGCACACACACACACATATGGGATTGACTCCAGTCAGATGACATCTTTCGATCAGATGACACTTTCGGTCAGATGACATGCATCAGAATGAGCACCACCTTGTTTGAGAATGAGCACCACCTTATTTTAGAATGAACACTACATTGAGCAGACTGTGAATGAGTACTAGGTTGTTTCAGAATGAGTACTACGTTTATAATGAACAAATGTGTGAAAATCAACCCTACGATGTCTTAGAATGAACACTGTGTGGATTCCAAATGAACCCTATGTTGTCGTCTCGCTGGCTTGGAATGAACACTACATTTTGATGAACACTTGTGTGAGAATGAATATTACGTTGTTTAAGAATGAGCACTACATTGATTCAGAATGAGCCATACGTTGTCTTCTGACCGAAAGTGTCATCTCACCGAAACATGTCATCTGACTGGAGTCAATCCCATATAAAAATACATACTCCGTATATATATATATATATATATATATATATATATATATATATATATATATATATATATATATATAGGTTCTGGTGAGAATGCAATCTTAGGAGAGAAATGAGAATGAATCTGGTGCTTTGGATTATGAGATCTAAGGGTCAAGATTTCATCAAAATTAGATGCACCAAAATGGTTCGAAAATGCATCATGTCGAAATGCACCATAAACCTTCGAAAATGCACTATCTCAAAATCTGAGCGCAGGATGTAATCTGAGCAACACGATGCATCAGATCTGACGGCTAGATTTTATTCTCATTTCTCTCCACAAGGTGCATTCTCACGGGAACCAGCCCCTATATATATATATATATATATATATATATATATATATATATATATATATATATATATATATATATATATATATATATATATATATATATATATATATATATATATATATATATATATATAGGGAGCAGTTCCAATGAGAATAGAGCTCAATGAAAGAAATAAGAATGAATCACATCCCTTGGATTAAATGTATTCGATGGCTATTATTTAGTATGAATGTGGCAATTCAAAAACAATAAAAAAGGGAAGTAATAATAATAGTGCGTCAATGTAGGGATAGATTAGTTCATAAGGGCATTTTAGTATTTTTGAAATACGAACTACTTGTACATAACAGTCATGCTCCTTTTTTTAAGCAAATGAGTAATGAGGGCTTCTTACTAATGATTATACTAAAATAATAATTTCATTTTATTTATTTATTATCATGTACTGTGCATCAAGCTTTTTATACACAAGTCCATTTTTGACAAATAATATGCAACAGAAAATCTCTAGTCAAGAATCTCAAGATATCCAACAAAAACCAATATTGAATGTAAGATTTTGAAATTATCTTCATAAATTTCAAAAATAAAAATAAAATATATTACATTTTTTCTCTATTTTTAATAAATCATTTTTAGCCATTTTCTTTGGAGATGCACTGTGATATCCACCATTTTAGATCCAATGTGAATGCTTTGCGATGAGCGATAAATGCTCTTTCATTATTTGTTTAGATTTAAATTAAATTTTATTCTATTAACTTATGAATTAGTGAATAATGACTTATAAGTGACTTTAAATGTGAAGAGAGAACTTAATAATGTATTACGGAGTATATTGTATTTATAACAATTATAATAGAAATTCGAGAATTAATTAGTTTGCCTATGCAGGATTCGAACCCACATCTGTATTACATACCGCTCTACCATTTGAGCTAACAGGCAATATTGTTTATTTAAAGAGACTCTCATCTTACACTTACACATTGAATACGCATTTCAATCCTTTAAAATTTGCATTATTCAACCCATATACATATATAACACATAACATTTTAAATGCATCATCAATTTCAAAAACTTTCACCTTGCTTTTGAGAATGCAGAGTAACAAATGCTTTTTATCCTTTGCCATTTTTACAATGCATTGTCTTCTCATGTAAATGCATATGTTGACTTTAATAATGCACAATAACATAAACTATGTATCCTTTGTTCATTAAACTTTAACAAATTTTAACTAGAATTAAAAGTCATACCATTTCTTTTTAGCAAATGAAAATTTGCAATTAAATCAAGCTTTGGTTGAAAGTTTACCAGAAATTTATACACATGCATAAAATT